AATTGTAAATGAAAAATAAAAAAAAAGCTTGTGATTTATTTAAACTGACAAAAATGTGAGAATGAAATATGAAAAATTATTGTATAACATTTCTCGTTTGAGAAGAATTTAATTTTATTGTACGAAACAAGAATGTATATATGTTGATTGAAAATATTTCATTGATATTGATGTTGTAACATGATGATAATAGTAATGATAATAAAGTAATATGGATGTTTGTTTAATTGATAATACAAAAACAACTTCGAAGATAACAAACAAATGTAATTATGAAATTATATTCGATGCAAATCGAAATGAGAATAAAAAAAGAGTGAATTTTATTTTAATAATGATACTTGAGTGATCACAGTGCATAAATTGTTAATTAATACCATAAATGAAAAACTGAGAAAATTTACTTATATCTTCTCATATCTAAAACTGATTTTGTTTCGTCGTTTAATTTGATTAAAGTTTGGACATAATTTTCGACTATTTTGTTTCTTTTATGTAATGTTTTCTTAAATTTATTTTATAATCTTTTTTCTCCATAAATACATTATAGTACTTCATTATAATACTTCTATTTAATGATTATGTGATTTATTTTTTCAAGAAAAACGAAGAGTAAAAGAGATTGAAAAAAAGTCAAGAAAATAATTTTTTGTTATGATAATTTTATTTATTTTTTTAAATTTAATAAAGTTCATGTTATATAAGGATTCTAATTTATTTAATAATTTAATTTCAATAAAATATATATTGTATATATTGTAAAAAATATTATCATTATCAAAAAAATTATATATACAAAAAAAAATAATAACAAAAATAAAATTTTTGTTTTTTAATATAATATAGAGAATTAATATATACAAAATAGAAATAAATAAAAGATATCTGGTGATAATCATTCGGATCACTCATCATCAGATAAATCAAAAGTTGAAAGATTATCTATTTTACAATATCTATCTTATAATTATAAGAATGCATATATTGTTATACTGATGACTTAAAAAAAGAGAATTACATTATTATATAAATCAGTTATATAAGATGAATAATAGATAATAGTAAAATTATAAAATTAAAGCGAAATATGCATTTATTAAAATTTGATATAAATTAGTCAAAAGACAAATTGTATGATATAAATTAGTCAAAAGGCAAATTGTATGAATTCTATTATTTCGATACCAAGATCTGATAAGACATTGAGAAAGTACTCCTTTCTAGATGTACTAAACATGTTAAACATGCACCAATAATTGATTCATCAAACGCACACTAAAACTGCACTAAATAATACACACGCCAAATATGCTAAATGTATACTAATACTAATATTAACAATGCATATTAAAAATTCTTTCAAACTTTAAGTAAAATTAATATTCTTTCAATATGATTTTGTATGGTGTGAAGTTCGATCGAATTGCGTGATACTAAAATTATTATTTACACATTTGTAATGTATAATAAAACAGAAATAGAAAAAAAAAATATTTCTAAATTTTTTAAAATTTATGAAAAATTATTATTAACAAAATTACGCTCATCATAATAAAAATTTTAGGAATGAAAGTGAATAATGAAAAAAAAGTGAACTTTCGAATCATGTTATTTGAGAGTGTAAATAACTTAATTAATCGAAATAAGATTTAATATATGTAAGACAAAAAGTTATTATGATTATTGGTCTATATCGATCGTAATTTAGTAGATTAAATAATTAGAAATGAATTTAGTTATTTTTATTCATAAAAAATTGCAATCTATATTATTACTTGTTTCTTGTTTTCACGTATTTTTTATTCATATTTATTTATTTATTTTATTATTTTATTTATTTAATTTTTTTATTCATATTTACTTTTATTGTATTTTTTTGTATTGTATTGTTTTATATTAAAAATACATATATTTGAATAAATTAAAAGGACTTAATTTTCATCAAAAAATTTCTGGTATTTAAACTATTAAGTTTGTGAAAAAAAATCATACATAAAATAATTTATACACTCATACTTTTCCTTTCATATACTTGAATTTAACTTTTTTAAAAAATTTTTTTGTTGCAAAATTGGACCTTATATTTTTTTTTAAATTTTACAAATTCAAGTTATTTTTAAATAACTTTCTAATGAGAAGTCTCTTCTTTACAATAATTTTTAAAAGTTATTGATTTTTTATTAGCAAGTTTATAATATTTGAAACTGTAACATCGGCATTAGAATAATCTAATCTAAAGTACATCATAAGAAAATTATACAATTGGATTTGTATTTCGTATATAGTGTGTGCTTAATATATATGTATATGGCTAATGTATGTTTTGCGTGTTTAAACATTCAAGAATGATATCAAGGTATGATAAGATAAAGTACTCCTTTCTAGGTGTATTAAACATGCACTAATAACTGATTCATCACTATCAAACATATACTAAAACTGTATTAAATATATACGCCAAATACATGATAAATGTATACTAATATTAACCATGCACATACTCAAATTTAAAATAAAGATTTTTCTCTTCAAAGTGAATTCAGATAAATTATCGTAATTTTTTTTCAAAATTATATAATAATAGTATAAATTTCAGTAATTTTTTGGATGAAATTTAATAATCGTTAAATTTTGAGAACGAATATAGATTTATATTAATAATATTATATTTAATTTATTATATTTTAAATATAATATATTTTTCTCAAATTTTTCTCGATTTTGAATATAGAAAACAATAAAAATGCTATTAAAATCGGATTAAGCGATTCTACTTGTAAATGAAAAATAAATTATTAAAAAACTAACTACTATTATAAAACTAACTAAT